TGATTAATTCTGTGCAGTGTAAATAAACACCATTTATATATGTTCATATTATAGGGTTTTTATAAAAAATGGAACAATGCAAAGTTGTAAATATAAATTGGGGAAAAGGAGACTTATAGGTAGCAATATTGTACACAACTGATAAGGTGCCTGCGTTTTTAAGATCCTTGGTATTTTACGTGCACAATACACACTTAAGGGAATATCTTGAACTCTTAATTTTACAAAGTAAACATGATTAGCTAATGTTGCAGAGGAGTTTACTCTCAGCAGAGCAGGCCATTTAAACTGACAGTTTTTTGATGGCTTTTCTGTTCTGTTTCTACACATTTAACTAGGTATGTTTGTAATGGAAAAATAAGTGCATGTTTTATAATCAAAGGTTACTTATGCATGTTCACTATAGAGTATAATGTTGAATGGCATTAAAGGCGCTATGGAAGCAGTTAGTGTTTGTTACAACATTCTGTTACAGTGTTGAAATTTCCCTTTTCCCTTTTCCCTTATCCCTGCTGTGTCATGATACTTCTAAATTCAAAGTGCCCAGTGGGAAAACAGATGCCCAAATGCCTGTAAGAAAATCGCATGGGTAGAAATTAACATTCAGTGATGGGCATATTCCCTCTCTCCAGACATCAGTAATTTACATTAAATTCTTTTAGGAAGGCACTTAATTCCATGTGTTTGGTAATAATTGGATTATATACAGAATACTGTGAGCATACCCGGCACCTAGTGTTTTTGGATGTAAATTGTTTTTTAATATTTTCCTCAAAAGTCCAATTGGGATTCTAAATTACCATTGTTAATATAAATTTATAAGTTGTTGAAAATTCTTGTTGTAATAGAAAAGTATTTTACTGTGAATTGTATGGTTGCAGGGTATGCATGGTAAAACGATGAAAACTGAGTGGGAAAACTATGGTATGTCTGTTGACTTAAAACCAAGTTTCTTCATTTTTACTGGTTTAGTAATGTAAGTGTGCATGCCACTCGGCTAGACTCAACAAATTACTACTTCCTGTGATATTCTTATGGTATTTTAACAAAAATAAAAACAAAAGTTGATGAGTGGGTTAGTATTTCTAGCATAATCAAGATCCTTACTGTGTTATAAGGTTCTGCCAGGCAGGAAATCATAGTGGGATTCATCAGAAATCCATACTACTTGGCGAGCAATATGAGCTCAGATTCAAAGATAAGAATGCCTCAAATTGGGGCTTAGGGAATCCTGGATACTCTGGTTGTACTGGAGACAACTATTTAAATACAGATTTTTAGAAGAAAACACATTTATTAGTCTTTCATGGTTAGTGTGAATAGAAATCATACACTTGCTATTTTTTCAGATACTGTTAAAACCTTTGAAGTTTTGCTGGTCAGAGCAGTTGTTCTGTATGGTTGTCATGTCCTGGGAAGAGAAATGCATGTTACAAGTATTAGCATATAGTTATGGGATCAGTGTGAGAATCTAAGAGCAAGTCTTGTCTTATAGTCCTGGGAGTGCGTTTTAATGGGATGTGATGTAAATATTGGGTTATTTTTTCCTTATCTTTGTTTTACTTTCTGCTGGGGGGTGGGGATGATAATGCCACAGGTTTTTTTTCTTTTCTTAGTAAAATGAAGAAAATTGAATGCAAAAATAAAAACAAATGGTAGTGATTTTTGGATGGTTTGTTTAAAACCCAAAGCTAATGTCTAAGCATGTCTGTTGACTTAAAACCAAGCTTCTTCAGGTTGACTGGTTTGATAATTTGGCTTAGAAATAAAACTGCAAGCTGTTGTATTAGGTTTTTTTAGTCTTTGGTGCGTTGTTTCTCCCCTGCATGTTTAGTTCAAGCCATTTTTTTTTGGATTTATAAATACCTATATAAATTGTAACTTTTGGTGAAAAAGTAGCTTAAAATTATTTTTCATGACAGTCTTTATTTTCTTGCAGTGACTTGAGAAATAAGGCTAGGTAAAGGTTTTCAAAAGTGCATTTATAAACTCAGCTGTACTTCATTAAAGAAAATCAGCTGTAAAACTGATATACCATACTTTATACCATCTACCTGGAGCATTTTAGTTGAAGCTACTTACTAGAGCAGGGGTGATTATTTGGGCCTGAAGGCCACATAGGGAGTTTTGATGAACTGTTGTGGGCCAGGTCAGCAGCGCCCTGCCCTGCCCTGCCCTGCCCTGCCCTGCCCTCTGTGCACCAACTCACCAAAACGGCCTATGGAGCTGCAGGTGGGCTGATGGGGAGCAGTTTCAGGAGCTGGATGTGTGGGCAAGGCCAGGATCCTGTCCCTGCTCATCCACATGCTATGGCGTGGGGGTTATGGGGTATGTGTGTTGGGAGGCGCGCACATGTGTTTGGGGAGGGGAATGGCTGTTTGGATGCTAGGTCCTAGGAGCTGGCCATGGGTGAGGGGAGGGGAGGGGCAGGGGGCGTGTGCAGGAGAGTTTGCCCCGGGGGTGGGTGTGGTCCACAGCTGCCCCCGGGGTGCTCTGTATGGGGCCAAGCCCTGCCTGCTGCCATCGGGCGGGCCAGCTTCTGGCAGGGCTGTTATTGGGGCTCTGCTGTTACTCTGTTACAAGGGCTCCTTCTCTGCTCTGTGCTGCTCTGTTGCCCTTGCCTCCAGCAGCAACAGGCTGGCGGCACCTGGGCAGGCTCTAATGGGCCAGAGCTGCTCTGTCTGGACTTCGGGGCTGTGCAGCATGGTCCCAGTTCCCCTGTGGGCTGGGCTGGGGGGCAGAGCTTGTTCCTTAGCCCCTTGCACTCACTCCCACCCCCTTCCGCAGCTCTGGCCCATGGGGGCTCCCAGAGCCAGACTTGGTGCTGGGCTCAGCTGGCAGCTGCTCATGCAGTGTAAAGGGAGCAGTCCCTTCTGCCTGAGCTCCTCTGCCCTGGCAGGTGGACAGATCTGTGCTGCAGCAGGGCAGATGGACAGGCCCCAGTGCTGGGCAGCTATGACCAAGCCACTGCTAGACGCTGTCTCCAGGACCCTGCCTCACCCCCACAAGCACCTGCTCTGACCCTGGGGTACTCATGAGGCAGGGGGGCTGTTCCCAGTGCGGCTGCAGCTGGCTGGGTGCTGCTCTGCTCTCTTTGCCTCCTGTAGCAGCTCCTTCTCCTGTCCCTGCCCTGCCTCTGCTGTGCTGCTTGGGGGCAGGCAGGGAAGTTTCAGCCGGGCAGCTTTTGCCTCACTGCATGGGTCTCTGGCTACATACAGCCTGGCTGCCTTCCACAGGGTCCTCCCACCTGGTGTGATGAGCAGCCACCTGCAGGCGGGTGGAAGGCAGGCGGGAGCTGGAGTCCCATGCAGTGGGGCAGGAGCCACCTGGCTGAAGCTTCCCCCTGACCCTGCTTGAAACAGAACGGCAGGAGGAGGAGCGGCAGTTGGAGGTAAGGGGAGTGCAGCAGCGCCTGGCCGGCTGCAGCCACACTGGGAACAAGCCCCTCCAGAAGCTGCACATGCTGGCTGGGGCCCAGGCCAGTGGGCATCTGTAGGAATGCAGTGTGGGCTTTCCTGGTGGGAATGGGGAGGGCTCAGCCCCATATGGAGCACCACGGGGGCAGCTACAGGCCAGGTCTAATCAGTTGGCAGACAAATACAGCCCACAGGCCATATTTTCCCCACCCCTGTACTAGAGTGATTCAGCAGCAACCAGAACTGTGCTCAGATTCTCCTATCCCTTATCCACTCCTTTTTTTTCCTTCCTATGGTTTCAAAATCCATGCATCGACTTTGTGGGCAAAATTGTTAACAAATATATTTACATGTCAGAAAGCAGGCAATCAAAACATGCGAGCAAGAAATATTTTCTTCTAGATTGTCTAAACTTGTGGCCTCAACAGTTCGGTCTCTAACTATGTACCATCAAGAGTATGGTTTGAGAGAAACCTCTGTTAGTTGAGAAAAACCTTTGATAATACAGAAATACATGATGAAAGAGGTAAAACAGCCTTCTTTTCCAACTACATGGCCACAAAGTCTTCTCCTATCTTTCCTGGCTGACTTCTTTCATAAGGCATGCCTAGAATGAGAACTGAATGTCACTTTTTTGTTATACAGGAAAGGGATCTGTTTTTTTGCATGCTTCTATCACATCCTCTTAGTATAATCTGGAATGTAAAAAGTTACAGTCTTTTCCGTTTCAGTTTGTATAATTAAGAACCTCAGTCATTCACTTCTGTCTTTGAACTGTGCTATAGTAACTTTGTTCGTCTTAATACGGTGTGATCAAAAGTGAAGGTAGTGTTGTAGGATAGGCATGAGATTTATTTATATTAAAGTATTATAATTTCTGTGTCCTTGCTGTATCTTAAGCCAAGAAGATATTAGGATGCATATTTGACCATGATTGGCATTGAAGAGAGGTCATTATTGAGCTGCCCACAGTGAAGCTCAGATCTTTTTCCTTAGTTTGTAGTTAATTTACAACCCAGCAAGTTGCATTTGGGCTGCTGTATTTTTTTTTTTTCTCCTGCAATATAAGTTACTTTGCATGTTCCAATAGTGCATTTCACTTGCTGTTATGGTGCCCATACAGCTAGCTTCTGATGTCCTGCTGAAGGTTCCTTACAGTTCTCCACTCTTTGTTTAGCCCTATTTTGTCATCTTCAAGTTTTGTCACCTCAACATTAACTTCTTCATGAATATGTTCATAAACGATGCTGGATCACTTATGGAGCTTGTGGCATTACACATCATTCCATTTCCATTTCCTGGCAAAAAATTAATATTTAGTCTTGCTGCTTTTTGTCTTTCTAGTACATGATGCCTGGACGCTCACACCAAGAACTCTAGTTTCATTAGAAGCCTTTTTTGAAGGATTTTGTCACAGGCCTTTTGTGGGTCCAAATTTGTTGGTTGGTTCTCCATTAATTACTATTTTATTGATTCAGAGAGTGAACTGTGTAATTTTTCCTTTGCAGCAGTGGTATTAGGCACCTAATGATTTTTAGTTATGATTTCAACTAGGTTGCTTGGTACAAAACTAAATCTTACTGACTTGGAATTCTCTGGATCATACCTACTGCCTTTTAAAAATATCAGTTCAAGGTTTTCTGCCTTCCTAGTCCCCCAGCACAGCAGCTGATTCTCACAATTGCTAGCAGCCAGCCATTTCTGACTTCTATCAGAAGTCTTGTGGATGTTTCCTGTCTGGATCAGATGACTTGGGCATTTTTAATGCATCAATTTTCACTCCTTTTGACATCTCAATCTCTGATGGCACTTACTTATTACCAGAGGAGATCAGGTTTTAGGTCCTGCAGTAGGTGTCCCTCAAACATCCTCTAAAGACTCAAACAAAGAAGGAGCTTAGTTTTTCAGCAGTTTCCTTATCTGTCTTCCTTTTAATCCATAGTGGTCCAATTATGTACGATTTCTCTTTTCCCTCTTCCTGACTCTGATATGCTTTAAACAGTATTTAAAATAATACTAATACATTTTTAACTCTTGTTTCTTCAAACTTCTTAATCTCCTATCTTTCTTTTTACTTAGTGCTTGCTATAATTTCTGCTGCTTTTTCTTGGTTGTACGTGGGTTGAATTTCTGTTTTCTGAAGAATATCTCATTGGTTCAAGTAACCTCTTGGATTTTGCTGTTTAGTCGTGCTCATTTTGTTTCTGGTCTTCCTTTTTTGTTTGGTTAGAGACATGAATAATTTCTGAGACTATGATTTTTCTTAAACAGGATTATAATTTCCTCTTTCTTGACTTCAGGGCTTTCTTGACATCTTCAAGCAGTATCCTGTTTTGTTAAGTTTGACCAAGTAACATGTCAGCAGCTGAATGCTCCTATCACTCAGTTGTATTAGTTACCTGTTTGATCTGATTTATTCTCTCTTCCCAGTCTGAAGGCAGTGTAAACTAGTTTGTGTATTTGCAGTCTTCTGTAACCCATTTGCGTCAGTACAGCTTCAGCTCTCCATTTCTCACCAGTCAGAGGTCTTAACTTGTCATAGCCTATGGAAGCTTCAAGTTAGACGTCAAGTTATACTTTTTCCGGTTATACTTTTCCACATCTTTAACATAATTGGCCTCTCTTTTGTACCTTTTTAGCCAGCTATTGTATTACGGTATCCCACAGACTTTTCTTTTTACTCTGTTTTGGTGAAATCTGTTATGTTAAGGACCTTCTCTGCTTAGAGCCATTTCTGTTCCCTTACTTTTTGCGTTCAAGCTTTTCTGTGTGTTTATATAGACAATATTTTTTTTTATTTATTTTTACTGTAGGGGACAACTTGTTGATTTAACCTCAATTATCTCTGATCTGGACTTGTTCCTGCCCCAGTTGAGCTTTAATTTCTGTGCTCTCCTTTACTTGACACAGAGATACCTTTGTATTACTGATATCCCTAACAGATGTCGTTGTCTGATTTGAGTGCTCCTTGGCAGCAGCCGGTGTTCTCCCAGCTCCTAGTTTAAACAGTCCTCCACAACTTTATTAATGTAACATGGCAGCAGTTTGATTGCACTCAGGGTACTGCAGGGTCCAGCCCTTTTGTGTAAATGGTGTGGTTCTCAGTGTTTCTCTCTGCCTAATGCATTTGAATGACTCCTTTTTACATGATGTGATGTGTGTGGAAACTCAGTTCCTAAAGTACCCAATTTTTGCTAAAGCTACAAATATTAGAGGAGTTCTTGCACTTTTCCCAGTAAATGGAAAGGTTCCTAAAATGCATTTAAATCAATAGTACTATTGCTGTAACTAGGGAACTACCTTATTTGAGGCGGCCACTGTCCAATTTTGTGGGGAAAAGGCAGGTCTGGCAGCTATTTTTGTGGGTGGAGCACGCCACTGGGTGAGGGTCCCCAGTCGCCCTGCCTCTCCCTGTTGATTGGCTCTCAGGACTATCCATCATGTGGCCCCACCCCTCTGAGGAGCCAGCATTTTATTTTTCAGTAATTTTTTTTGTTTGTTTTTTGTGGATTTCATGGGAATTGCCCACTTTCACCATCTCATGGTTTTACAGGCAATGCCGGATTTTGAAAAACTGTGATTTTGGTGGGTCCCTAGCAATAACTTTTTCAAAGACAACACTTATCTAATTGGAAAAGGTATATTTTAACTTGTTTTCCAGCTTTTAACTGACATTACTGTTGCATCATTCAACAGTGAATGTTGTAGTCATTATATTGAAAAAAACATTGGTCAGTGAAGAGTATAAAGTGTGCAAGGGAAGAAGAAAGGGCTATTAAAAAGGAAGTAAAATGTTTGGTTTGGGGTATTGACACTTGGAAGCATTCCTGTTTGGAAATGGGCCAAGTAAAGCATTGCTATATCCTTTGCTTCTATACAAGTTTGCTCATGGGAATTTTAATTTGATGCAGTGAGGTGTATATTTAAAAGGCTCATGCTACACTTTTTTGAAGTTGTTACAAAAACAGTTCTGTGTTGGACAGTGTTATATTGAATGTTTAACTGTAGAAAGTTCATACATTAATTTGAACAAATATTGTATCTACAAAAATGCACAGTTTGGGCAGGTACGTTTTGAAGCTATTCTTGAACGTTAATTTTCCTTGGATGTATTTCTGTTGAACAAATACTTTACAAAATGAGTTCTGTAGATGGCTTATCTAAGAATACAAACAAATTACGTTCATTCCATTGTATCAAATAAGTACTAAAGATTCTAAAGAGAAATAATCCACGCTAGTTTCATGGGTATAGACTAAAACTTGCCATGGCAAAATAATGCAAATTCACATTCATTTCTTGCTGAATTTGCTGTTAATTAAAATGCCTTGCAAAGTTCAACTTTAAAGCTAAAATTGAGAATTCATTAGCAATTTAATTACTATTTTACAGAAAGATTTCATTCGACTGTTTCCTAATTGGGAACAAAGCTATAATTATCTTTCTGAATGAGGCTGGGATCTACTTAGCAGGAAGGGGGGAAAAATGTAAACCCACTAAGTGGATTACACTTTTTTTTTGGGTAAAGAATGGCTGCTTAATATCCATGAAATACTTTAGCCACTTATCTGTCTGAGAAGTCCCAAGGAAACTTAATTTGAGAATCTTTATCTTGACTAGTGTGTAGTTTTCCTTGTCATTATTTTTGAATCCTTTGGTTTACCTGCAGTGAATGCCCAAGCAGATATGTGGTACAGTTGCAGTAGAGTTGGCATTAACTGCTTGAATTGACTTCTTTTCTTCCAAGAGACTAATCACCTTGAAACCTAGTCAGTTTAACATAGGAGTTTAAAAGTGGTTTTAGGTAGTAAATATATCCTGAGACTTACTACCAAGTTTAATGCTTTATAATATGTATTTTAATCAATTGAGTTTTCTTGTTGTTAAACATACCCCTGAAGTTCTCCCTTGCCACCCACCATCCTCTTTCTACATGAAATCATGTAAATAAGGAAAACTGAATAAATGTGCAGGGGAAGCAGTGCTTATGGCTATTTGAAGTATGATGGCAAATAGACAAGGGTGTGCTGAGCGAAGAGAGAATTTTCTTTTTAACCTCTTTGTTATAGTGTTCATCTTTCTTGTAACAGTCTGAAGATTAAAAAACAAAAGTATTTGACTGTGACTTTAAGTGGTGTTCTTTCAGCTGATGAAAATACTGTATTAATGGTCACAGTGACACAGACAAGAAATGCAGAAGTCTCACTCATTGAGAAAGCAATGAGTAAGGCACTAGGCATTATCTCCAGTGAAGAGAATTTAAAACATAGGAGGCTGATACAGGTTTAAGGTGCAATTGGCTTATAAAATTGGTAATAGAAAGTTTCTTTTAGATTAATGTACAGAGTGTATCAGTTGTTCTAATCTAAGGTCAGTGGGACCATTGTAGTATAAGAGGCATTTCAGTCGCACTTTTTTTTCCAAGGATAATTTGAATTCTATGGTTGTGGTTAGATGACATGAGCGAGGAGCAGAAGATGATCAGAGGGGACTTAACATGTATAAGAATTGTAGGTTACATGATGCTGATGCTCCTATTAAAAGTTTCTTGGTTACTTGCTACCACTTTAAAGGCCAGATTTACCATAATATTTTGTCTGCTTTTTGGTGCTCTCTGGGGCAATAAAACAACTGCAGTGAACAGGCAAATTTGCCCTTAAAATTAAATTTAAAATGATTTAAATTTGATATTACATGATTTCCATCCATTAGCTACGTTCTCTTTGGGTTTCTTGTGTAATATTAATCAATTAAAAACTTTAAAAAAGAATTCCACTTTGGGAAATATTGCAAGTGGTAGGTAAGTTTGAAAGCACAGATTGATATCTTAGGGGTAGGAAGTTTTAAAAAATTAATTTGAAGTAATTATAGTAATTGTCATGAACTGAGGAAAATCATAAGAAAGGTTAAACTTAAGACAAGCATCCCAATAAGATATGCCCACCAAGGCAGTGGCAGAGTTTGAGCAGGTTTCCTTAATTCCAGTGGTTAGGAAAATATTTTGCCCCTTGAGTGTGGCTTTGCAGAAACTGAAAGATGTTTGAGGGATGGTTAAAATGGGTCTTGTCTCTTGTTTTCAGTAGTTTGATGGAAGTGACTTGTATCTGCAAATGATTTAGCTGGTAACAAAGCATGATTTGGTACCCAAGGCAGTGCTCTGTTGTTCAATGGGAACTTGCAGAAGCAATTTTGTATTGACGGTTAACTTGGTTTTGTTTGGTCTTCCTCCCTCTCCCCAAGAAAATGCCTATTTTTTAATTGGTTGATGAACTGATTGGAGCAGACCCCTTTTCTTTTGTCATTCTAATAGCATTCTTTAGTTGTCATAAGATGGACCTTGTTTTCTTGCTATTTTGCAGAGGTCTGCAAAGGCAGTAGTAACCTGTGAGATGCAGGAAAATATTCTCACTTGGAATAAGTTCTCTGAGTATCATTTTTTCAATAGCTCCACACTGATAAATTTTCCCACTTTCCTTCTAAAGTTGTTACTGAAGTTTGTGTAGGACTGAGATTGTATTTAAATAAAAAAATGTGCATGTTTGTCCCTTGCACTGTGGTCTATAGGTTGCAGCAGTGTACCTCTCTTCAGGGGTAA